AATTGAGGCATCTATCACGCGGTCGCCTGGGCGGCCCCATTGCGGTGCCCACAAGGGCCGGACAAAATCAACAACTCAACGCCTGATGTGTGATAATTTGGCAACAATTTCTTCGGCTGGTGACTTTCCAGATCCCCCCTGGGATATCTAACATGGAGGTCCCGAGCTGGAGCCGCGTGTTTTCACGTGTCAAGGCCACAGACAGATCGAGCTGGGGGCCCAACGCAGTTCTGTGGGGATTCGGATGCCAAGGAAGACTTGATACCCACGACGCAACAAAGCAGACCTCTTTAGGTTCGCCCCCTCTCGGCTTCCGCTTCCGAACTGAATCGGATCTTGAGTTCGAGCTGGTCGAGCGCCCCGCGCGTTTCGATTGCGGCCAGATCCGAGTTATGCGTTCAGCCAGCTCGAGCTTAAGATCAAGATCAGCTCGATCGGAATTCTGACGCAACGGTCGCCCCGATCCACAATGCAATAGAACACAGCACTTCAACACGGCATGGTGCGCCTCAGTTCATCGCGGCACAGAACAGCACAGCCCCTGGCACTGTACGTCGCCATCGCTACCTTGCTCATTCCCAGTGTCCGTCGTCCAAATATTGGGTCTTGAGCAATTTCCGTGCTTCACATTTCTGTATCCCTTTCCGGATCGTGGGCCGATCATGTTACGATGAGATCGAGCGGCTCATTCTGGCTGGTCGAGCCTTGGAGTAAGGATCCCTAGCGACGAGCTTGTGCCTTGAGTTACAAGTGTTCGCAGGGCCCCGTCTCCTAGATACTTCCTGGCTCACCAGATCGATCATGCAGGCCTTGGACAGAGGGGCGAGATTCGCGAAATTCATGACGCATGCAATTATGACCCACATCACTACGTGTTATACTTCCTTGTCCGAGAGGTTGTGGGTGGACGACCTCTCTCGCAAGCAAGTAGCGAAGGACCTCGAGAAGAGGACTGTTACTACGCAGGACTTGCTGCAGGAACAATACTTGAGGCTGGCGCCTGAGAGTGCAATGCGATCACAATCGCGACCGTTTCTGGTGCTAGGGCCTTGGTCAACCGCCTTCGTTGGAGGGGGCAACGGGGCCGTCAGACATCATATTTGGGAATCGATCTTGGGAATGGCAAGAGCCTTGCCCGTCAGAAGCGACCAGCGAGGATGGCGCAGTCGAAGACGAAACACCTCAGCATCGAGCGCTACGCCGCCGCATCTCGTTACTTCCGCATGCTTAGGAAGGTAGGTGTGTGTATATGTGTGTCGCATCTTATTGTTCCCACATGCTTAGGAAGGTAGGTGTGTGTGGTGGTGGGGGGGGAGATGGCCGCCAGCTGTGGGCACCAAATCCATGGTCGTCCTCGGCTGTTGATTCAGGAGCTTCGTCGTCGCTTATTCTAAATCCCTTATTATTCGTCCCCGGGTCCAATTTTTTAGGGCGCCTTTCTTGTAACTGGGGGGGTCCGGTTTATTGGGGTGCTTTCTTCGGATCGGAGCTTAGGGGGTCCGGTTTATCGAGGCGCCCCGTCGACGAGGGGGGTCCAGAATCCTAGGTCGCGTTTGGAAGGGGGAGGTCCGTTTTTTAAGGGGGGGGTCAATCAGTAAGGGACGCGAACATGGCAGGGATATCGCTTCGTGGCTTGACCTTCGCGCTCCCACTGCGAGACCCTGGTTACCGCTCCTCCTCCCTCCCTCCCTCCCTCCTCCTCCTCCTCCTCCTCCTCCTTCCTCCTCCTCCTCCTCCTGCTCCTCCTCCTCCCTCCCTCCCTCCCTCCCTCCCTCCCTCTCCCTCCCCCCCTCCTCCTCCTCCTCTTCCTCCTCCTCCTCCTCCCTCCTCCTCCTCCTCCTCCTCCTCCTCCTCCTCCTCCTCCTCCTCCTCCTCCTCCTCCCTCCCTCCCTCCCTCCCCTCCCTCCCTCCCTCCCTCCCTCCCTCCCTCCTCCCTCCTCCTCCTCCTCCTCCTCCCTCTCCTCCCTCCCTCCCTCCCTCCTCCCTCCTCCCTCCCTCCTCCCCTCCCTCCTCCCCCTCCCTCCCTCCCTCCTCCCCCCTCCCTCCTCCCCCCTCCCCCTCCTCCCCTCCTCCTCCTCCTCCTCCTCCTCCTCCTCCTCCTCCTACCTCATCGAACAATTGCTGCGGGTGCGGATCGAGGAGCCCAAGGTCCGGGCGCCTGTCAGCAAGGCACGGCAGGACATCGCCGACCAGCTCAACCGGGTTGGTTCCCGCCACCGAGCGCGTCACGTGCGTGGCCCAAGGACCCTGGGGCACACAAATAAATAGACACAAGTAACAGGATTCCCTATATGTTCCCGTATTTTCTGTGTTTTCTTCTTCCCCCCCCACTTCCCTTATTCTCTTACATTTTCCTGAATGTCGACGATGAATTGTGTCTGCGTGTTTTTTCCCTCCTGGCAATTTCTGGTTCAGTTCACGATTTACGTCACGCTGGGCGGGGCCCAGCCAATCCGGCTGACTGGTACCCACCACAAGCCGATCGCACAGGTGAGGTTCGAAGGTTGGAAGTTCGACGCCAGCCAGCTCGAGTCGGCTGAGGAGGCGAAGGGTCTGCTCGACGACTTTACCCAGACATTCCCATACCAGCTGTGGAACGATGCGTCCACATGGTTCGCCGGCAGTGGCATGGAATCAGGTCTCGGCAACTACAGTTTTCGCAAGCAGCTCATCCATCTCGAGAGCCTACCAGACGGCCGACGATTGGCCGAGATGCTCATGGTGATCACAGTCGGTTGGGTGTGGACAGAGCCAAGACGCAAGGAGGGAGGATCTCATTGTTCAAGCTTGTGTGCACGGTGTCCTCAAGCAATCGTGGAGGCACCCATCCGTAGGCATTGATGCCATTGCAACACCAGCTCTGCGACCTTTGACATGACCGAGGACCTGTGTCACCGAGCGGTTACACATGTCAACCTAGCAGAATGTGTCTTGCTTCGTGGGCGTGTTCCTGCGGGATGGGCTCGAGTTGACAAACCGACTCAGAGTGAGGAGAAGGAAGGCGTGAAACAAGATTACAGTGGAGGCCAGTCCACAAGAAAACTTCCACAAGAAACCAAACCCTGAGACCCCAAGGCGTCCATTGATTCTTGGTGTGGGAAGGTCCACGCCTTCCACAACAAAACCATCGAAACCCAAGAAATCCGGGGCACCCTGGAGGCAAGCAGGGTGTTTCTTGGCATGGGCTTCCACTGTATGCTGGCAGCTTCTCCTTCGGTTCTGGATCAGTGGGCAAACGAACGATTGGCTATTCATGGTGATGCGTCTGGAGGTGCTGGCAAACACGCACAAACGATCCACGACTTCGCCGAGTTGGGTTGGTCAACGTTTTCTCATTCGGCGTTTCGACATTGGGTGAAAGCGGGGGGGGAGGGGGGGGGGTCTTGCAGCTGGACCTCTGCTTAGTGCGACTGTTTGCAACAGCGTGTCCATTATGGGGGAGACTGCACCTGCTTGACACAGGCGCAAAAAACAGCCAAAATCCACTCCATGGGGGGGGGGGGGGCGAGGGCCCGCGCCGATCGGTACAATAATTAATAAAAAAACGATCATTTGGCTCCTGGTGCTCTCTCAGGTGATGAAAACAATTCCGGTCCATGCATGTCTGGCCCGCTTCCTGGTGGCCGACAACTGGTGGCGCGGGGAAAACTGCACATGCTGGAGGTAAGTAGTCTTTGGTCCTCAAGGCCCATGGTTTGCGTGACAGACAACCAAGAGGTGTACTGTGAATGGTGGGCTCGAGCATACGATCAACCGACAGGTGCGAATGCAGACATCTGGAAACTAATTCGAGGCCATATTCGAACCCGTGCCCATGCAGAGATTGCTGTGCTCAAGGTGCCTTGACATCTGGAGGGCCAGGAGGTCATTGTTAAGATTCCTGCTTGGATGCTTGCAGGCAGCGTGTACGCAAATACATTGGCAGCCATAGTTGCTAAGGAAGCACGGGCTCCCCAGCATCAATGAGTACGTGCTCAACATATTGAAAATGATGCCAGGATCATTCGTGAGACTTCTTTGGGTTTCCCTGCCAAATGTTGCCGGCGGTGAGCGAGGAAGACATCCGAGGCTCCTGCCATTCCGTCCCCCCGGTGCTGGTGCGAAAGCCCTCTTTTGTTCGGAGCATGTGGTGGCCAACTGTGTAAAACATGCACACTTTGTAGGGGTTCTGTCACGGTGGCCAGTCTTGAATATTGATTCGCGGCCACCGTGTGTTCCTCTCGAGGTTGCCACGAACGAAGTCTCCAGTTTACCCGCAAGTCGGGCCTTACATCTCGCGGGGGGGGAAGGTCCACAGTTCTCACAAGATGAGATATCACGAATCCCAAGGGCCCTGCTTTTGTGGCAGGTGCGGGTCCATCGGACATTCCCCATTGAGGAGGTTGGCTGGTCCCTAGAGATCCGATGTCGTGATTTTTTCAATCCGCGGTCCCCGGAAGCCTCGATCCATTTCCCAGGACCGGTTTTTCATCCCGAGTCGTTTTGTGAGGGTCCCGAGGCCCCGCGAGGGCCCCAAGGGGCCGAAATTTGCGAAAAACCTCCGTCGTGTTTTTTTCAATACCTTGGATCTCTGGGTCCCTGCCTTCCCCCCCCGATCACGGCCACAGGCAGGGAGCACCACCGTCGTGTAGACAGAGCTTTTTGGCCTAAAATGCTCAGCAAGGGCCAGGCGGAGCAGGCGGCCAGGGCCTAAACACATCAGACTCGCCTCGCGACCGCTCTCATCTCATCTCATCACCTCCTCCTCCTCCTCCTCCCTTTCCTCCTCCCTTTCCTCCTCCTCCTCCTACTCCTCCTCCTCCTCCTCCTCCTCCTCCTCCTCCTCCTCCTCCTCCTCCTCCTCCTCCTCCCTCCCTCTCCTCCGCCCCCCCCCTCTCCCCCACCTCTCCTCCTCCTCCTCCTCCTCCTCCTCCTCCTCCTCCTCCCTCCTCCTCCTCCTCCTCCTCCTCCTCCCGCCTCCCGCCTCCGATTCCTCCTCCCAGACTCCCAGCAGCCGGGTCCTCCTCCTCGCTCTTCGCGGCGTGCTCCGCCGAGAGGCGGGACGCTCGTCCTGCCCGAGAGCGGTGCGCGAGGCACCCGCGCCCGCCTACTGGCGGCCGCCCTAGGCCTTTCCAGAGCGCCGGGGGTGGAGGGGCAGTCTCAGGAGAGCCAGGCAAGAAGAGGAGGGATATGAAGGGGCCGAGGGCACACGAGTGAATAGACACAGATCACAGGATGCCCGATGTTTTCCCATGTTTTGGCTGGGTTTCCGTCTTTCCCCCCACTTCCCACATGTTCCCATATTTTCTGGGAAATCCACTATCACTTGTGTCTGTGTTTTTTTTCCCCTCCTGAGCTTAGCACATCATGGCCCGAGGCACGCTCGCGGACGAGAGGGGCAGGACGCGCTGAAAGGAGAAGAGGGGGCCGTGAACCCTGAGCGGCCTCATGGCCCCGGCAACGAAACAGTCCATCCCCCCCCTCCTGGACGCCCCGAGGGTGCTCCCTCCTGGCTGGCTCGGGGGGGGGAAACACCGAGCTGGAATCAGCCGACACCTCGCCGACAGAGCGGCGCCGGGCCCCCGATAGCACAGCCGCCCGTCCCTGCGCGGCGTGGGCTCTCCGGCCCCTCTCGGCGATGAGCGGGCGATCGGGGCGCGATGCCCCCCCCCCCCCCCCTCCCCCCGAAGGGTGCGCCAAGCGAGATCCATGGTCGACTCTTCGAACGTCTGGCCGCCCCCCGATGGCGTCGGCACCCTGGCCGCCCCAGCCCCGCGCCCTCCAAACGACTGCCGCCACCTTAAAACGACGCGAAGATCGGGACAAAATCGGATCGGGATAACTCGAAATCTCTGAGAATCGGCGGGTTTGGAGGATGTATTGGGCGCCGCGGCCGCTCCAGAGCTCCGGAACGCTCTGGAGCGATTTATCCCGATCCTAGCTCTGTTTTACACCTTGCCTTCCACCGCGCCTGAGTGCGTCCGCCGAGATCCGTCCGGGCTCTCCGACGACATGCTTTGTTCCGCCCCGTCGCGATTTGCTCCTCGACTTCGCGCCCCGCCGGGGGGGCCGTTTTCGGGGCCATGCCACATGGATCTGGGGCAGGGAACTACTTACAGTGGAGGCCGGTTCACAAGAAGCCTTCCACAAGAAACCCAACCCTGAGACCCCAGGACGTCCATGGATTCTTGCTGTGGGCACGTCACGCTTTCCATGGCAAAACCATCGACACCCAAGAAACCCAGGGCACCCTGGAGGCAAGCAGGGTGTTTCTTGGCATGGGCCTCCACTGTACCCCTGGTCGGGGCCGCGGGTTGAAACAATCGTGCGGGCGGATGTCAGGGGTGGTCGATTCTCGAAGCTTCCGGCCGCCCTCGGGTGGCATCTGCGCTTGGCTCCAGATCAATCCGCCTCTTGCCGTCGCTCGGACGTCCATTCCCCGCGCACTTTTTCGTCTTCGTGCTTCCACTTTTCCGCCAGATGGTCCAAGATGCTCCACGATGGTGCTCGCCGACAATTAAAGACACACGCCCGAGCGATGCCAAGGCCTTCGGCCCCCAGGGCTCTGGCACTGGATCCTGGGGATGCTGGGCGCGCCGGGGCCTTTTCAACCAGCGGCTTGGAGCGCCTGGAGGGGTCTCGCGAGCAGGCAGGTTCCAACTGGAACACTATCGTCACATGTGGAGGACCCGAAAGAGGGAGGAGGGAGGAGGGATGAGGGAGGAGGGAGGAGGGAGGAGGGGAGGAGGAGGAGGAGGAGGAGGAGGAGGAGGGAGGAGGAGGAGGAAGGAAGGAGGAGGAGGAAGGCGGAGGAGGAAAAAGAGGAGGAGGGGAGGAGGAGGAGGAGGAGGAGGAGGAGGAAGGAGGAGGAGGAGGAGGAGGAGGAGGAGGGAGGAGGAGGAGGGAGGAGGAGGAGGAGGAGGAGGAGGAGGAGGAGGAGGAGGAGGAGGAGGAGGAGGAGGAGGAGGAGGAGGAGGAGGAGGAGGAGGAGGAGGAGGAGGAGGAGAGAGAGAGAGAGAGAGGAGCAAACATGAGTGACGAGAAGAAAGGGGTCTTACGCGAGATGGCATAGCGACCTTACGCGGCGGCTTACGCGGGCCGCCGGCGCGGCACGCTGCAGTGGAGACGGGGGCGCTCACGCGCGACCTTACGCGGGCAGCTTACGCGCCAATGCAGGCGCAGACCCCGTTTTTTCGCGTCGCTCACGTGGAGAGGGACATGGAGAGTGAGGGAGCGGGAAGGGCCCGAAAGGGGCTGAGGGACTGAGGGAGGGACGACTGCGAAGTGGTGCCCCCCCGAGCGAGGCCGAAAACGGCCAGGCACCTCCCGTCCTGATTTTCTGTTTACGGCGCGATCGTGTCTGGGGGAGTGGGAGTGGGCGTCCCTGAAACTCTCGTCGAGGTCTACCCTCCACTGGGGCCGGAGTGGGAGCCCCGAAACTCTTGTCGAGGCCTACCTCCCAGCCGCGCGGAAGAGCGCCTTTTGCCCACGAGAGGCAGACCCACACCCCCGATGTCATGATTCTGTTCGCACCGTCTACCCCCGGAGGCAAACGAAAGAGCGGAACAGAAACCTCCCGTCGTGATTTTTTCACGACGCGAGGGGGTCTGGGCTTGCGACGAGAGGCAGAGCCCGCCACGAGCAGCTCGCCCGCGGCGCTTCAGAGAGCTGCGAGCGGCAGGCCCGCCTCTCGGGCGAGCTGCGACATCGCGACGGGAGGTTTTCCTCGCTCTTTTCTCGGCCTCCGGGGGCCCTCACCGGGCCTCGGGACCGTCAAAAAAGGACTCGGGACGAAAAGCCGGTCCTGTGGAAAGGGCCCAGACCTCCGGGGGTCGACGTCGTGAGCAAATCACGGCGGGAGGTCTTCCTCGCTATATTTTCGGCCTCCGGGTGCCCTCGCCGGGCCCCAGGACCGTCAAAAAACGACTCGGGATGAACAGCCGGTCCCGGGGAAGGGGTCAGGACTTCCAGGGACCCCGTGTTGGAAAAGTCAGGACGTCGCATGTCTGGATCCCCCCCCCCCCATTGGAAGAAGGGGAGGCGTCACCACCACCACCACCACCCCACCACCACCACCACCACCACCAGGGGGGGCCACCTCCAGCGAAGGGGTCCGCGGTGCCTCCCCGACTCGGTCCCGGGGAAGGGGTTTAGATTCCTGGGGGTCGACGTTGTGAAAAAAAACACGGGCGTCGGGGGAATCTGGGGGAGGAGGCGACCAAGTGAGGAGCCCGTGGGGCGCGCGCCCTCCAGGGCCCAGCGAGGACGAGGGGCTCCATATGCATGAGCTGGTCGATCCTGCCCAGGCCCACCCTGGGCCCAAGATCGGCTTCCACGCCCTCCTGGCTTGGCCGGGAGGGCGTGTACACCCATCTCGGGCCCAGGGTGGGCCTAGCCAGGAGTACGGTCTGCGCCCTCCCGCGCCGCAGGAGAAGACCGAAAGCTTGCTCCGCGGACTCCGCGCAACTGCCGCTTCAGCCGAAGCCCAGGTCGCCTAACTTTAGGCCCGGCATGCCCTCCTACAGGCGGGTTCTGGACAAGAAATGAAGCACAATCGAAGCTTCAAAAAATCAACAGAGCACGAAAGATCGTCACCATACCATCTTTTTCCTATTCTGGAATTTCCTCCCGCAGAGGAGCACGCCCGCCTTCAGCCTAACTTCGCGCATCGCGCCCCGCGATGCGTGGCGCGCGATTACCTACGCACCCTCGCGCCCTCGCGACGCCCCCCCCCCCCCCAGCAGGAGGAGTAGGAGGAGTAGTAGGAGGAGGAGGAGGAGGAGGAGGCGGAGGAGGAGGAGGAGGAGGAGGAGGAGGAGGATGAGGAGGGGAGAATGGCAGGCCCAGATCGGCTACGAGCAAGAGCGACCCTGGGCCAGAGTGACCCTCTTGCTGCGCGGCCTACGGGGGGGGGCCCTTCGAAGACACCACCAGGCGCGCAGACCGCTGCTGTCGCGCCGCATTCGGCGATCGCGGGGCCCTACCGGGCCCGCACCAAGGGTCACTCCGGCGAAAGGTCACTCTTACATGTAGCCTTAGGTCGGGCCTGTCTCCAGACAAGGGGATTCTGGACGAAGAATTAAACATAGTCAAAACATTTCCAACAATGACCAAGAATACCCCAAACATCGTCCCCATAATATGTTTGGACTGTTTTTGAATATTCCTCCCGTAGAGGGACAGGCCCGACTGAAGTGTAGCCGATCTGACGTCCCCTCCCTAGACGACCAAGACGACGATATCGACGACGACGGCGACGACAAAGACGACGATACCGACAACGACGACAAAGACGACGACGACGACGACGACGACGACGACGACGACGACGACGACGACGACGACGACGACGTGGACGTGGAGTCTTCGATGCATCGCCGGCAGATCGGCGACGGGCCCCCGATCCCGACTCCGCGCGCCGCTGTCGCACCGCACTCGGCGATCGGGGGACCCCATTGGGCTCGCACCAAATGGTCTCCGAGGAGGAGGAGGAGGTGGAGGAGGAGGTGGAGGAGGAGGAGGAGGTGGAGGAGGAGGAGGAGGAGGAGGAGGAGGAGAGGAGGTGGAGGAGAGGGAGGAGGAGGAGGAGGAGGTCGAGGAGGAGGAATGAGGAGGAGGAGGAGGAGGAGGAGGAGGAGGAGGAGGAGGAGGAGGAGGAGGAGGAGGAGGAGGAGGCCACGACGCGCGCAGAAGCGCGAGAGCGCCCTGGCGCCCCCGCGGGTGACCCCCGGAAGGGGGCCGGGCGACGGCCCGGCCGGAGCGAGGGCTGGCCGGCGCGCGCGCGACGCTCTTTTGGGCGTGGTCAGACGAGCGTGCGTCCCTCGCCCAAGGATTTACTGGAGGCCTGGAAATTGGCACCAACACCAGCGCAGGGGGTTGCCTCCCCAGACCTCCTCGAGTCGTGAAAAAATCACGACGGGAGGTTTTTCGCTATTTGCGGCCTCCGGGGGCCCTCGCCGGGCCTCGGGACCGTCAAAAAACGAGTCAGGATGCAAAGCCGGTCCCGGGGAATGGGTCGGGACCTCTGGGGGTCGCGTCATGAAAAAATCATGACGTCGGGGGTCTGGGTTGGAGGCCTGGAAATTGGCACCAACACCAGCGCAGGGGGTTGCCTCCACAGGGGGAGGAGGATCCTAGATTTCGGTGTCGGCGGCAATCTTTCGGCCACCTTGGAGGCCATAACATTACCACCATCGCCGAGATCGGGATCGTCTTCCCTCGGTGGAGGCACACCGCCGATCTTGGTGTTGGTGTCAACCTCTAGGCCCGCGACTTTAGCCTTGATCGCCAGAAAGAATGTCGAGCGCCAGGAAAGTGCCGAGACTCGAGCGTGTTCACGCGTCGGGCCCCGGGAGACACTCGTCCGACACTGTTTCGACACTCGTCCGACACTTTTCCGGGTGCTCGAAATTATTTCAGGGATGTGGTCCTTAAGTACGATGAGAGCAACATAGTTAACCCAAGGCGCCCCGCCCCCACGACTTCCGAGGAGGCCCCCGAGGCCTCCAGAGCACCCCTCGCGAGGTCCAGGGAGACCCGGGGACCTCAGAATGGAGCGAGAAGGCGGGGGCACCTCGCGTTAGGTCGGGCATGTCCTCCTACAGGCGGAGTTTTGGGGAGCAGCAAAACACTGTCGAGCAACATCTGCAAATCACACATCATACCCATAACATCGCCCCCAGACCATTTTTGTGATTCTTTTTGAACACTCCTCCTGTAGAGGGACACGCCCGACTTGAGTCTTGGGCCAGGGACCCCCCCCTGGCAACCCCCGAGCCCATGCCCCGGCATCCTTGATCTTCTGCTCGAACTCTGCCTTCACCTGCCGGGGGCAGCGGCCCTCATCTCGCTACGCTGAGGGCATGCTGGCATCCAGGTTCCGAGGGCCCCGAGGATCACCAACTGTCGGGGGCGCGCAGATATGGATTAGCGATCCATGGATTTGGCGCGCGGTCGCCTAATCCATGGATCGGGGGAGGTGCCCTCCCCAAAATGCGGCCGGTGCCGCCTCGCTCGGCGGCGGACACCCACGATTTCCCATGGAAACGGGATCCGTCGCTAATCCACGCCCCCTTGATCCATGTTTGCAATCGCCTGAAACTGAGCCTCGGCCATGGGTACCACCGGCGCGCTCATCAGCTGAGGAATCCTCCAGGGCCTGAAGCCTCCTGGGCACACTCCTTCACGGACGCCCACGCCGTGGGCCCGGGAGGCTTCTGGCTGGCGCAGAGAAGCTAAGGCACGGAGGCTGGCAGGTCGAGAGGCGTCGAGGTGAGATTGGGGAGGCTGGGGCCGCGCATTCCTCACTCCACATGACCCAGACACCCCCCGCCGTGCTCTCTGACGGAATGGTTCTCGGAAGCTGCACATGTGCAAAAGCCTCTCATCCTGACCTTTCGCGAATGGAGAGCATGTCCAGGAGCCTCGATCCACACGACACGTGCTGGGCCGGAGCCCGAACACACCGCCGCCTGGCCAGGGCCCAGGACTTGGTGCAGGGGCTGGGCAGGCTCTGCGGCTTCCCTGCGGGGGCGACCTGCCTGAGTGCAAGTGCCCTGCGCCGGGGTCGGGGGGGCCCTTGCCGTCGCTCGGACGTCCATTTCCCGTGCATGTTTCGGTGCCGTGCGTGCTTTTTTTGGGGGGGGGGGCTCGATGGTCCAGGATGGTCCTCGATGGTCCCCGCCGGGGAAAAATGCACACGTCCGAGCGATGCCAGGGGCCAGGCTGGAGTCGCCCGAGGGGGTGCCCGCCGCCTCCCCCCCCCTCCCGCTCGCGGCGCACGCCGTGGCGCTGCTGTGGCCGCCGCCCGCGCCTGGGCCCAGTGGCACGCCCTCTGCCGGGGGCTCCTCGGGCCGCGCCGCTGCCCCCCCCCCCCCCCCCCGAGGCGCGGGGCACGGGCCCGGCTGCCCCCCCCCCCCCCCCCCCCCCGGATGCGCGCCACGCAGCACGTGGCGCACCGACACGGAGCTCAGCGCGCGGACCGAACTAGGGGAGGAGGAGGAATGAGGAGGAGGAGGACTGAGGAGGAGGAATGAGGAGGAGGAGGAATGAGGAGGAGGAGGAGGAGGAGGAGGAGGAGGGGAGGAGGAGGAGGAGGAGGAGGAGGAGGAGGAGAGAGGAGGAGGAGGAGGAATGAGGAGGAGGAATGAGGAGGAGGAGGAGGAGGAGGAGGAGGAGGAGGAGGAGGAGGAGGAGGAGGAGGAGGAGGAGGAGGAGGAGGAGGAGGAGACAAGACAAGACAAGACAAGACCCATGGGGCGCCAATGACCCAACCACCGTCAGAGCTACGCTGGCGCCTAGGTTCTGCTTCAGCAGGCCTCGCCGTGCCGCCAGGCACGCTGGCCTGCGCCCCAGTGGGGGCAGACACATGCTCGGCGGCGGGCCCTACGGCGCGCAGCCTGTGGCTGCCACCGTGAGCACCTATCCCGAAAAGAAACTCTATCCGAGACACGACTCAAGAGCAAAAAGATCGAGGCGAGCGACGAGCGATTAGCGAGCCGCCCCACCCCGACCAAGACCACCCCTGCCGCGACGCGTCGGTCGCTGTCTAGGGAGGGCCACCGCGGGCCCCACTTCGGGAGCAGCTTCGAAAAAGAAAGGAGATTGAGAAGATGCGGGAGGATCCCCAGGAGGCTCGAGCCCAGGAGGAGGACGGAGAGGGGTAGGAGTCAGGACTGCAGGCGGCGGCGGGGCAGGATGCCCAGATACAATTCTGGCGGAAGCCTCACTTAGATGGCCACGCTGCAAAAGTCTCTGGGCACGCTCACTCATAGACCAATCGAAACTCACCAAGGTGGAGGAGGAGGAGGAGGAGGAGGAGGTGGAGGAGGACGACGGGGGCCACATGCGAACCCTACCCCTGCCCCCCAACGACTTCTGAGGGGCTAGGGTGGGGTTCACTTGGCTCGGGAGCTCCCGAGCGAAGTGAACCCCGCCCTCTCTCCCTCAGAAATCGTTGGGGGGTAGGGGTAGGGTTCGCATGTGGCCCCCGTCGTTCTCCTCGTCGTTCGTCCTCCTCCTCCCTCCTCCCTCCTCTCCTCCTTCTCCTCCTCCTCCTCCTCCTCCTCCTCCTCATTCCTCCTCATTCCTCCTCCTCCTCCTCCTCATTCCTCCTCCTCCTCCTCCTCTACGAACGCGCAGGCCTGGCGCGATGCCTCCGCACAAAGACGGGGGCCAGCACACGCCGAGCCCGCACGCGGCGTGCGGGCGCGGGCGTTCTCCGCGCACGGCGCGCGCATGCGTCTCTCAGAGAGCGGGCGCGGCGAGGCAGCTGGGGGCACCAGCGTCTCAGAGGAGCACGTCTGGGAGGCGAGGATCTTGCCGTCGCTCGGACGTCCATTTCCCGTGCATTGTTCGGTTTCGCGTGTGTGTTCTTGGCTCGATGGTCCAGGATGGTCCTCGATGGTTCTCGCCGAGAGAACAGTACACACGTCCGAGCGATGCAAGGGGATGCGGCAGTGGCGGGGTGGCATCGGACTTCGAACGACTGCCCGCAGGAGGCGGGAGGTACGCGGGACTTGTGCCAGGGCGTGCCCCAGGGCACCAGAGCTGCGCGGTCGAGAACCTGCCGAGCAGGAGAGCCCTGAGATCCGACGTCGCGAAAAAACTGCAACATCGCAAAACATCACGCCAGGAACCCTCGACCCCATCTTTCTGCTTCAATTTTCAAGTCGGATCGATCTGCGATGGTCCCGGGGCCCGAAATTGAGCGAAAACGCTGGTTGTGAAAAAAATATGAAACGCCAAGATCTCAGGGAGAGTCCCGCCAGCCCTTTAGTGGGCGTGAGTTGTTTAAGCAAATCGCTCTTCCAACCCCCTTCTTCTGCACCGGGAAGGTTTTGATCACTGCCCCTTACCAATGGACACCCCTCACCCACTCGACCGGCAGCCGACCAGATGCCGACCCCGCCTCTACTATCCGCATCGAAAGGAACAGCAGAATATCAACTCTGCGGCGCAATCTTGGACGGTACGCGGGGGGTCCGTGATCACTTTGTATTCGTTTGGCATGGACGGCGGGGGGGCAATTTACTGCCTGGTGCGCACCGGTCCACCATACCTGTCAACAAATAATGCAATACGCCCTTCGCGGCAATTACACACAGACACACACAGACACACAGACACACAGACACACACACAGACACACACAAACACAGACACACACAAACACACACACACATACAGACACACACAGACACAGACAGACACACACAGACACACGCAGACACACACACAGACACACACACACACATACACACAGACACACACACAGACACACACACACACACACGCACACACACGCACACACACGCACACACACGCACACACACGCACACACACACGCACACACACGCACGCACACGCACACGCACACACACACGCACACACACACACACACATTATGCACTATGCGGACCACTACGCTGCGAGTTCGCGTTGTTTTATATTTTGACTTGGATGGTAGAGTGTCGACGTATTTCCCGACGTGCACGGGCACACCGTATGCAATGGAAAGGCGGGTGGGAGTGAGCGAGACGGCTTGCGGCCGTCCTTCGGGGTAGCTTGAGCATTGCTCCTTCTTCATACACACCCCGTCCTTCAATTCACCGGGCCCTAGCAAGGGTAATTCTCCCTCTCCCCCACCGTTCCTGCCGAGACACAGCGCTATGAACTTGGCGGCAAAATCTGTACCATGTTCGCGCGCCCTGCGATGAACCCAAGTCCGTTTTTTAACTGGCGTTAAAGTCGGGCCTGTCCTCCTACAGGGGGACTTCGGACGAAAAATGAAAAATACCCCCCAAATGCTTCGAAACGGTCCATCTTTTTTTATTTCTTTCAAATCGTCCCAGACTATTTTTTGACTATTTTTGGTCAAAATGGTCGTCGTCGACTATTTGTTCACTATTTTTTAATAATATTTTTTATTTTTCTTTGATTATTTTTGACTATTTCTGGTAAACAAAAAAATCGTCGTCGAAATGGTCACAAAAAAAGCGTCCCAGACTATTTTTTGACCCTTTTGGAGTATTCCCCCCGTGGAGGGACAGGCCCGACACAATACTCACCGGCACGAGGGGGCGTGTTGGCGTGCCGCCCCGCGCGGACAGGCCCAGCGTCCCGGCCAACACCGCAGGGCGTGAGGGCTTGCCGCGGCAAAACCTTTGGACCGTGCGCTGGTGCCCCGGGATCGCTGCGCACGGTTGGGGCGCCCGAATTATCCGGGGTAGCTCGGGTCCGGGGTAACTCGGGTTTGGATTCCCGAGAAAGGAACCCGAGTCAGCCCTGACCCGAGTTACCCCTGATGATGTGGGGCTCTGGGCGCCCGAAACATCCGGGGTAACTCGGGTCCGGGGTAACTCGGGTTCGGACTCCCGAAAAACGAACCCGAGTTATCCCTGACCCGAGTTACCCCTGATGATTCGGGGCTCTGAACGGTTCTGCATCAACAGCGGCCAGCAGGGCGGCTACGACGACAGCCAGTAGGGCAGCTCTGTGGGGGCCCCGCACGCAGCAGGGCTGTCTTTCATGGTTTTCTCACATCTGTTTTGAGCGTGGAAGCGGTGACAAAAAACTGCGATTGGAAACGGCAACCAAAAGGGCTCCGGAATTGGAGCCAGAGCTGGAGCCGGAAACAAAAACAGCAACGAGGCAAAAGGGGCGGATCCCCCCCCCCCGTCGCAGCATCAGGGATAATAGGTCTGGGCGGTTTGGCCTGATACAGTCGAAACGCTGTCGTAAGGAGCCGTAAATGAGGAACGAGGCCCCTCTTTTTCCATACGTTGAACTTCGACTTCCAATAGAAAACCTCCGGAAAACGTA